AATATTTGTCCTTTTGTGATTGACTTATTTCACTCAGTATAATGTCCTCCAGTTTCATCCATGTTATGAGATGCTTCACAGATTCATTGTTGTTCTTTCTCGTTGCATAGTACTCCATGCTGCCACCATTTTTGAATGATCTTCAGAAAATTTTACTTTTATGTGATATTAATGGTAATATTCAGTAATTTCCATTTTCTTTTGGATCACTTTTCTTTGGAATTCGCATAAATACTGATCTCTTCCAGGAGGCTGGCCAGGTAGCTCTCTTCCAAATTTCTTTGCATAGAAGAGTGAGCACTTCCTGTAGTGCGTCTTCTTGTTGAAACGTCTCAGTTTTTATTGTCAATTCCTGGAGCCTAGTTTTTCACCAGTGCCTTCCCTGCAGCTTGGACTTCTTCCTTCAGTTTCATTGGTTCTTGGTCATATGCTACCTCCTGAAATGGTTGAATGTCCAGCGGTTGTTTTTGGTTTAGTATCTCTGTGTATTGCTTCCATCTTCCATTGATGAATCAATCAATATTTATTTAATTATTTAGGGGTGTTATCCTCCTTTAATCTAATCTTAAATAATTTAGTGCAGGACCTATCAAAGTAGATTGCCATAATTTGGCTCTCCCCCACCTTTTTTTTTTTAAATACTTCACAATATTTAATGAACGAATGTATCATGAAGTATTGAAACACTTCCGTACTCACACTTGGGTTGAATGATATTTAGAGTGTTTACGACGATTTGCTCCAGTACATAAAGATGAGGTGAACATGATGGCAGTAAATCTTTGGAATTATACATGACTAATTTTTTTTTTTAATTGTACTTTAGATGAAGGTTTACAGAACAAATAGTTTAATCAGTAAATAATCAGTAAAAGCATATTGTTTCGTGACATTGGTTAACAACCCCACAACGTATTAACACTCTCCCTTCTCAACCTTGGAGGAATTTTTTCTTTTTTGGTGAAAATATACATTGCCAAAAATGCACAATTGCAAAAATTTCTACATGTACAATTCAGTGACATCGATTACGTTCTTTTAGTTGTGCTGCTATTCTATCTCCTTTTCCAAAATATTCCATCACCATTATCGACTCACTGTCCCCTAGGCTTCGCATCGAACCTTTTGAGTTGCTGTTGTCAATTTGATCTCATGTAGATAATTCTTTTTTTTTTTTGTTTTTTAGATGGAGGTTTACAGAACAAATAGTTTCTCATTAAACAGTTAGTACACATGTTGCCCTATGACAGTGATTAACAACACCCCAACATGTCAACACTGTCCCTTCTCAACATTGGGTTCCCTATCACCAGCTTTCCTGTTCCCTACTGCCTTCTAGTCCTTGTTCCTGGACTGCTGTGCCTTGTTAGTCTCGTTTTGTTTTATGAGGCTGTCCAATCTCCGGCTGAATGGTGAACTTTGGGAGTGACTTCACCACTGAGCTAAAAGAGTGCCCTGGGGCGATTCTCTCGGGGTTTCTCCAGTCTCTGTCAGGCCAGTAAATCTGGTCTTTTTTTGTGAGTTAGAATTTTGTTCTACATCCTTCTCCAGCTCTGTCCAGAACCCTCTGTTGTGATCCTGGTCAGAGCAGTCACTGGTTGTAGCTGGGCACCAGCTAACTGTACTGGACTTAGTCTTGTGGAGGCCTCGGTAGCTGTGTTCCATTAGTCCTTTGGACTAATCCTTTCCTTATATCTTGTTTTCTTCATTCTCCCGTTCTCCTGAAAGGGTGAGACCAGTGGAGTATCTTAGATGGCTGCTCACAGGCTTTTAAGACCTCAGACGCTACTTACCAAGGTAGAATGTAGAAGATTATCTTTCTGAACTGTGTTATGCTGATTAAGCTAGGTGTTCCCCAAGACCATGGTCCCCACAGCCCTCCGCCCAGCAATTCAGTCCCTCAGGGAGTCTGGATATGTTTGTGGAGCTTCTGAGACCTTTCCTTGTACAAGTTGTGCTGGCTTCCCCAGTACTGTGTATTGTCTTACCCTTCACCAGAGTTACCACTTACCTATTGTCTATTTGGTATCCCCCCCTAACGCCCCCATCCCTCGTAACCGTCAAAGATTGTTACTTTTTGTGTAAACGTTTTCAGGAGTTTTTATAGTAGTGGTCTTATACAGTATTTGCCCTTTTGTGATTGACTTACTTCACTCAGCATAATGTCCTCCAGTTTCATCCATGTTGTGAGATGCTTCGCAGATTCATCATTGTTCTTTATCTTTGCGTAATACTCCATTGTGTGTATGTACCTTAGTTTGTTTATCCATTCATCTGTTGATGGGCATCTAGATTGTTTCCATCTTTTTGCTATTGTGAACAATGCTGCCATGAACATGGGTGTGCATATGTCTACTTGTGCGATGGCTCTTATTTCTCTAGAATATGTTCCCAGCAGTGGGATTGCTGAATCATATGGCATTTCTGTTTCTAGCTTTCTAAGCAAGTGCCATATCATTTTCCAAAATGGTTATATCATTTTGCCTTCCCACCAGCAGTGAGTAAGAGTTCCAATCTCCCCGCAGCCTCTCCAACATTTGTTATTTCCAGTGTTTTTGTTTTGTGCCAGTAATGCCGGGGTGAGATGGTATCCCATTGTGGTTTTAATTTGCATTTCTCTAATGGCTAGGGATTGCAAATATTTCCTCATGTATCTGTTGACCACTTGAATGTCAGTCTGGTGGAGGCGTTCCATTAGTCCTTTGGACTAATCTTTCCCTTGTATCTTGTTCTTTTCATTCTCCCTTGCTCCCGAAGGGGTGAGACCACTGGAGTATCCTAGATGGCTGCTTACAGGCTTTTAAGACCCCAGATGCTACTCACCAAGGTAGAATGCAGAACATTGTCCTTATAAACTGTGTTATGCCAATTAAGTTGGATATTCCCTGAGACCATGGATTTGGCTCCCTCTTAATATAACCCTATCTCAGTATAAATATTGGACTTACTTACTTTTATTTTATTTCATTTGAAGTTGGTAAGTTGGTGTGGTGTGAATGTGGAAGGCGATGGTGAATGATATGCCACAATGAGGAATAACTTTTGTAACTTATTTCCATGATTAAAATATGTGCTACATTTTCCACTTTGTATCTCAGAGTGTGCCCAGAAAAGGTTAATAAGAAAATGGGAACAGTATCTAGTTGGACTTCTTGGATTCCCTAGGTTCCTTAGCTTTGCAGTCGGTGGACTTGGATGAGTCTAGGAGTATGGCCCCGGAAATGTTACATGAAGGAGCTTCATCATGATATGCTACCCTTCTGACAGGCTACAGTGGTGAAAACATTGTATTGATTTCAACAGTAAAATGTGTTTCATTTACAGTAAAAAAAAATGGTATGAGGAAGGTAATTTACAAGCCTTTTAGAGTCATAAAAACAGTAAATAAAATAGACTTAGTCAATTTTGCTTTGTTTTTTTAAATTCCTTTCAGTGTTTATTACTCCACTTTTGTGTTGTAGAGCCATATTCACTAAATATATAGTAAATATATTGTAGTGATTATTTTCACGATCAATGATTAAAACTTGAGGGAGGATTGAATTAGCCTTGCATTTATTTTTAAGCTCACAATTGCATTTTGATAACTCCTTAGATATTCAATTAACATGTGAGTTATTTGCATAAAATATTTTCATACTCTGCTGCCTATTGCAGAATCACTTGGTATTTTTCCTGTTTTATTAATGGTTCCATTTACTATTATACTAGTGGAAAATGACATCGTATAATTGGAAACCAGTGCAATACTTTATAGCTTATTGGCTTAGAGTAATTATCTGCATGTTATATTATGCTTTGAATTACAATAGAAAGTATTACATTATAATATTTAGGAGAAGTGGCAAAGTCAAATAGTTAAATTGCTATAGTAAACTTTGACTTGCTAGGAGAATGAACACATTTATTAAAAGACAATTCTGTAATACGTAAACAATGTGTTCTCAGATGATAACCATTCTTCTCTTGTTTCTTTTTTTTTTTTTTATAATTTGCTGCTTGCCATTTCAGGAAGTAGAGGTTTGTATACAGCTTCTGTATTTCATGTTTTATTTTAGATTTTATATTTTAATTGGTCACATACACTCAATTGACATTATTTTCCCCCTAGGATGATTATTTCCGCGCTTGGAGTCCCGGAAAACCCTTCGATCAGGGTAAGAATCTAATTATTTTAGATTAAAATACTTACATGTTTACAGTCACTGTACTTTTGTCTGGTTAGAATTTAAAGGTGTAAATAAGGGTGGTTTCCGTGAAGAATTAGAAATAGGCAACAAGTGCTTTTACCGTGACATCTGTGAGCGCCGGGACTCTGTGGGACCGCCTTGTGTTTCCAGGCCTTACTAGTTTTCCCCCTTTGACTGGGTTCAGTCTTACCACTTTTCTATTGCTCTCTGTTAGTTGAAAGTATTTGAGTTTTCCTTCTCTGACAGGTTTCTGCCTTACACAGGTTCCAGCTTTAGCAGCTTTTACAGTATTTCAGCATAATATATTTAGAAAGAGTCAATTAGGTATCATGAGTATGTCAGGATGTCTTTTATTTTTAGATACATGTCTTAGATTACAGATGTAGGCATTTGAACTTTTACAGCGCCCCTTTTTTACTAGTTAATAGACGTCACTTCTGCCAGTTTTCAGATGTGTTCAAATGCATTCACTGGGCAATAGGTTTATTTGTGCACAACTGAAAACAAATTATTTTGCTACCTGTTTTCCAGGTATAAAAAGTTTCATTTGAAAAAGAGCAGACTTGTAATTAGTCTCAGTTGGAGTTTAGCAAGATCCAAAAGAAGAAAGCATATTCCTTCGTTATACAAAATTAGTCTTCCCTCACCTCTGTATACACAGCTTGCAATCCAGGTTAGGTTACTTTAGGAAGGAAAAGCAATCATAATTATATAAATAACTTCACAGATGTGTTTATTAAATTCTACAATATTAACCAGTTGCCGTCGAATCGATTCTGACTCATAGCGACCCTGTAGGACTGATTATAACTGCCCCATAGAGTTTCCAAGGAGCACCTGGTGGAGTCGAACTGCTGACCTTTTGGTGAGCCGCCGTAGCTCTAAACCACAATATTAGAACCAGAAAATCTTCCTTTTAAAGTTTGAAACAAAAGGAATTTCTGCTTTACCTAGGCTATATTAATCTTACAGAAAATACTATTTCATGAAGCAGTATCACCTAAAAACTGTTTTTGTTGTTAGTTGCCAAAGAGTTGCTCTAACTCACGGTGATCTTAAGCGTAACAGAATGAAAGATTGCCCGGCCCTGTGCCATCGTCATGATCTTTGATATGTTTTAGAACTGCTAGAATATTTCTGTAAATGATTGAATGATGGAGCCATGATGTGCTAGTAAGGAAGCTCTTAGTGTATTTTCCTATGTCTCCAAACATATGAATTTAATATTTGGGATTAATGCTACACCCACCCCATCTATACAGTGAGAGTCGACCTGGGTGGACCTAGATATTGACATTAATCTGGAGTCTGAAATTAAATTAATCTGGAGTCATTCACCTACAGTTCCCCCTTTAAATTTAGTTTCTTTCTAAAATACTTTATGTAATCTCACTATTATTATCATCCAGTGTATTTATTCATATAATCTGCCTTTTAAAATAAAAATAACTAGTTATAATTTGGTTACTAATAAGCCAAGTTACATGCATAAAGGACAGACAATAACAAAATAATCACATGCAAACTGAGATATAGTTGGTATTTAATGGATTTTCCTGATGGAGTCAGAAACCTTAAAATGGTAGTTATCTTGATAGGGACGTTAACATTTAAATGTGCCATACTCAGTGCATCCTGTTACAAGAAAGATACTTTTTCTTTCTTCGTGCGTTTGTGACAATTTATTGAACTGCAGTTTATTTCTCATTAAAAAGTAAAATGAAATGATTCCTGTAGGGGAGGCTTCCAAAGTCTAATGAACTACAAGACTGATTCACTGTAATTTTCAAAAAGTTTTTCACCTACTAAGTTGCTGTGTCATATTTAGCAAGCATATTAATCATGAAATAACAATAGCTAATATTTGTAAAGAGTTTGGTATATCCTGTCACTATTTTAAGTATGTGATATATACTAATTCATCTAATTTTCATAATTCTGCAAAGTAGATGAGAGAATTGAGGCATTCAAGGAATTAAGTTCTTGCCCAAGATCATACTACATAGTGACAGAGTTGGGATTGGGGTCCAACCAGTCTGACTCCAGAACCCTTTTTCCTAACTGCTGTGCAGTACTGCTGATCAGATGATAGGATTAAAAATAATAATAATGGCATACTAAAGATGTTTTGAAGTTTGTGTTTTAATAATAAATATTTACTTGAATGAAAATTAGAAATAGAGTGGTGTTTTTACTGAACGTATATAGTTGCTAAAGACACACGGAAAATGTTTGGTACCAGAAAAAGAAAGAAAAAGAAAATTAGAGTGCGATCCACATAATGGTTTTCCATTTATTTTAGCCTTTGGATGAAATTAATCAACCTACCTGTAGACCACACCAAGGGATGAGAAAAAGTGTCCTTTTCTCACGTAGCTCTGAAAAAATATCACTTGAATAGAATAGACTTGAGATTAATTAATTGCTAATATGTTTCTGTTCTTTCTGATGATAGAACTTTCTTTTAAGTATCATTTTCACAAGCCAATGAGCTGAATATTGGAACTAAAAGTTTCCAAGATTAAAAAAAACCCTCTGAATTCCCCTGAATTCTAGAAAGCCATTTAACTAATCTAGGAATTGGGAGCAAAATAATTTATGATGTAGATATAAAATAATATTATTAACTTCCATGTTCAAAAAAATCACTGTCGAAGAAGAAAATAAAAAGTTAGGGATGATATTTGATTCCAAACATTCAAGTTTTATCAAAGAAAGGAAAAAAAGAGAGACTGCTGAATACCAAAGAAATTATCTTAAGCATGGAATGTTACACAAAACATGGAGAAATTACAGTACCACTAGAGAAATTTGTAATTAATAGTTCGTAATATAAATAGTACCTGTCAGTTTGTCCTAGTGTGGTGGGTTGCATGTTGCTATGATGCTGAAAGCTTCGCCAAAGGTATTTCAAATACCAGCAGGGTCATCCATGCTGGACAGGTTTCAGCAGATCTTTCAGACCAAGACAGAGTACAGAGAAAGGCCAGGTGAAGTACTTCTGAAAATAAGCCAGTAAAAACATTATTGACAGCAACAGAATATTGTCCTTATGGTGTTGGAAGATGAGACCCTCAGGTTGGAAGGCACTCAAAATATGACCGGGAAGAGCTGCCTTCTCAAAGTAGAGTCAACCTTAATGATGTGGAAGGAGTATAGCAACTTTAATGATGTGACAGGACTGAAAATGAGAAGTAACAGTGACAAATATCCGTTAGTAATTGGAACGTGGAATGTACAAAATATGAATCAAGGAAAACTAGAAGTCATCAAAAGTGAAATGGAATGCAGGAGGATCGATACCCTAGGTGTTAGTGAGCTGAAATGGATCAGTATTGGCCATTTCGAAGCTGACAGTCATATCGTCTACTATGCCAGGAACAACAAATTGAAGAGAAATTGTATTGCAGTCGTCTTTAAGAAGAATATTTTGAGATCTGTCCTGAAAGACAGTGCTGTCAGTGATAGCGTTAATATTCATGTGCCTATAGGAACAACAACTGATAGACCACTCTTCAGATTCGCACGCCAGCCACGAATGCCCAAAGATGCAGAAACAGAAGATTTTTTTATGAACTGCTAAAGTCTGAAGTTGATTGAAAGTGCAGTCACAAAGCACTGGAAATTATTAGTGATTCAATGTGAAAGTTGGAAGCAAAGAAAGATCAGTAGTTGGAAAATATGGCCTTACTGATAGAAATGACCCTGGAGCTCACGTCATAAAATTCTTAAGTCCAATGACTTCTTCATCCCCAATACTTTTTTTTCAACAACACTTGGACCTCTCTGGATAGGTTACATAGGAATCAAATATATTATGTCTGTGGAAAAAGATGATGGAGAAGCTTAATATCAGCCAGGACAAAGCCCGGGACAGACTGTGGAAAAGACCATCAATTGCTCATGTGCAAGTTCAAATTAAAGCCAAAGAAATTCAAAGCAAGTCCATGAGAACCAAAGTATGACCTTGAATACACACACCTGAATTTAAAGACCATTACAAGAATAGATTTGATGCACAAAACCCTAATGACCGAAGACCAGAAGAGTTGTGGGATGATATCACAGTTGTCATACATAAAGAATGTGGACTGTAATTAAAAAGACAACAAAGAAGACAAAGACCAAAAAAGTTTGTCAGAGAGACTCTGAAAATTGCCCTTAAGCACAGAATAGCTAAAGAGAATGGAAGAAATTATGAAGTAAAAGCGCTGAACAGAAGATTTGAAAGAGCAGCTTGAGAAGACTAGGTAAAGTATTATAACGAAATGTGCAAAGACCTGGAGTTAGAAAATCAGAAGAGAAGACATGATCGGCTTTTCTCAAGCTTTGAGAACTGAAGAGAAAATTCAGGCTTTGGGTTGCAATACTGAAGGATTCTACCTTTAAAAAAAGAAGAAAAATTTGAATAACACAGGAAGCATGAAAATAAGATGAAGGGATACCCAGAGTCATCGTACCAAAAAAGAGAAAAAAAATTGGCCAACGTACAACCATTTCAGGAGGTAGCATATGATCAAGAACTGCTAGTACTGAAGGAAGAAATTCAAGCAGCAATGAAGTCATTGGTAAAAGAAAAACTAGGCCCCCGGAATTGATGGAATATCAATTGAGACGGTTCAACAAACAGATACAACATTGGAGACACTTATTCACCCGTGCCAAGAAATTTGAAAGCCAGCTCCGTGGGTCAGCTGACTGGAAGAGATCCATGTTCGTGCCCATTCCAAAGAAAGGTAATCAAACAGAATATGGAATTTATCAAGCAATATCATTAATATCACATGCTCCCAAATCTGTGCTAAAGATAATTAAAAAATGGCTGCAGTCATACATCAGCAAGGAACTGCCAGAAGTTCAGGCTGGATTCAGAAGCAGACTAGGAACAAGGGATATCATTGCTGATGTCAGACGGATCTTGGTTGAAAGCAGAGGATATGAGAAGGAGAAGGATATTTATCTGTGTT